ACTGGAGAATAGCCACACTAGAGAATTAGCAGAACATCTGAAAGCTCTAGAACAAAGGGAAACAAACTCACCCAGAAGGAGTAGATGCCAGGAAATAGTCAAATTGAGGGCTGAAATCAATTAAGTAGAAACTAGGAAAACAATACAAAGAATCAATGAAACAAAGAGTTGGTTCTTCAAGGAAATCAACAAGATAGACAAACCTTTATCCAACCTAACCAAAAGGCAGAGAGTGAACATGCAAATTAATAAAATCAGCAATGAAAAGGGGGACATAACAACACACATAACAAGGAGGAAGTCCAGAGAATCATCAGGTCATACTTTGAAAACCTGTACTCCACAAAATTAAAAAAATTTAAAGGAAATGGACAGTTTTCTGGATAGATACCACTTACCAAAATTAAATGAAGAACAGATAAGCAATTTAAATAGACCTGTAACCCCTAATGAAATAGAAGCAATCATCAAAAATCTCCCAATCAAAAAAAGCCCAGGGCCAGATGGTTTCAGTACAGAATTCTGACAGAAATTCAAAGAAGAGCTAATAACAATACTCTTCAGATTGTTCCACACAATAGAAGCAGAAGGTTCATTGCAAAACTCTTTTTACGAGGTTACAATTACCTTGGTACCCAAACCACATGAAGACACAACTAAGATAGAGAACTACAGACCAATCTTCCTCAAGAACATTGATGCAAAAAATACTCAATAATATACTGGCAAATCAAATCCAAGAACACATCAGAAAAATCATACAAATGATCAAGTAGTTTCAACCCAGGGATTTATGGATGGTTCAACATACAAAAATCCATCAATGTAATCCACCATAAAAACAATCTGAAAAAGAAAAACCACATGATCATCTCACTAGAAGCTGAAAAAGCCTTCAACAAAATTCAACACCCCTTCATGATAAAGGTCTTGGAGAGATCAGGGATAGCAGCAGCATACAGAAACATAATAAAAGCAATATACAGCAAACCAACAGCCAACATCAAACTAGATGGAGAGAAAATCAATGTGATTCCTTTAAAATTGGGAACAAGCCAAGACTGTCCACTCTCTCCATATCTCTTCAATATTGTACTTGAAGTTCTTGCTAAAGCGATGAGACAACACAAGGAGATCAAGGGGATAGGAAAGGAAGAAGTCAAACTTTCACTATTTGCAGATGATATGATAGTCTACATAAGTGACCCGAAGAATTCTACCAGGGAACTCCTACAGCTGATAAACACCTTCAGCAAAGTGGCAGGATATAAGATTAACTCAAAAAAAATCAGTAGCCCTACTATACATAGACAATAAAGGAGCTGAGAAAGAATTCAGAGAAACACCCCCCTTTACAATAGCCACAAACAACATAAAATATCTTCGGGTAACTCTAACCAAGTAAGTGAAAGACCTGTATAACAAGAACTTTGAGTCTTTAAAGAAAGAAGGTAAAAAGGATACCAGAAAATGGAAAGATCTCCTATGCTCTTGGATAGCTAGGATCAACATAGTAAAAATGGCAATCTTGCCAAATGTAATCTACAGATTCAATGCAATCCCCATCAACATCCCAATGCAGTTCTTCACAGACCTTGAAAGAACAATACTCAACTTTATATAGAAAAACAAAAAACCCAGGATAGCCAAAACAACTCTGTAGAATAAAGGATCTTCTGGAGGTATCACTATCCCTGACGTTGTGCCATATAGAGCCATAGTTCTGAAAACAGCTTGGTATTGGCACAATATGAACACCTATGAACACTTTATTTTTGACAAAGATGCTAAATCTATACAATGGAAAAAAGATAGCATCTTCAACAGATAGACCATATCTGTCACCATGCACAAAACTTAAGTCCAAATGGATCAAAGATCTCAACCTACATCCAGCCATTTTGAACCTATTAGAAGTGAAAGTGGGAAATACTCTTCAATGAATTTGTACAGGAGACCACTTCCTGAACATAAAACCAGTAGCACAGGCACTGGAATTGACAATTAATAAATGGGACCTCCTGAAACTGAGAAGCTTCTGTAAGGCAAAGGACACAGTCAGTAAGACAAAACAACAGCCTACAGAATGGGAAAAGATCTTCACTAACCCCGCATCTGATAGAAGGCTGATTTCCACAATATACAATGAACTCAAAGAGCTAGTCACCAATCAATGAATTTAAAAAGTGGGGCACAGCACTAAATAGAGAATTCTCAACAGAAGAAACTAAAATGGCTGAAAGACTTTTAAGAAAGTGCTCAAAATCCTTAGCCATCAGAGAAATGCAACTCAAATCAACTCTGTGATACCATCTTACACGGGTCAGAATGGTTAAAATCAAAAACACCAATGACAATCTATGTTGGAGAGGATGTGGAGAAAGGGGAACACTCCTCCATTGCTGGTAGGAGTGCAAACTTGTTAGACTACTTTGGAAATCAGTTTGGCAGTGGCTCAGAAAAATGGGAATCAGTTAGCTCAAGATCC